AATATAATATATTGAATTATTACACAGGGGTACAATGCTTTAATATAATATACTGAATTATTACACCGGGGTACAGTGCTCAATAGTTACACAGGGGTATACAAATTTATAACACTTGGTACAGTGCTCTAGTACAATATACAAATTTATAACACTGGTACACCGAGTTATTAGACTAGATTGAATTATTATTCAACTGGGATACCCAACTATATAAATAAGAAACTGCAATATTATAATACTGGAATTATATCACTATGGTAATAGAATAAATTGTGTTAGGGTTACGGTTAGTATACTGAGGTGCACCATTAACCTAAAAGAGTCAACTGGATATTGTGATGTGATACAGGACTATACTAAAGATATAAATTGGGTTTATCATTTTACTGGTCCAAAATACTGATAGAACATACTGAATTATTACTACAGGCATATATCATTAGAAAAAAAAAAGAAACTGTTAGTATTTTACTTGGGTGTACCCCCATTGTAATAAAATAAACTGGGTTATTCTATTAGGGTACAATATTCAAATAGAAAACACAGAATTATTAAAAACACATCACTTTACCAGGAGAATGAACTGGCTTCTTATTATACTCGAATCCATGATTTGGGTTCAATATACTAATAGACCACACCGTATTATATTATATTACGATATAGCTGTATTAAATTAATAGAATAATCTTGGCTGTTATTTTATTGGATTGCAATATACTAATGGGGCATACTAAATTGCTCTGCAATATAATAATACACTCAAATAAACTGGGTTATTCATTTTCTGTAATATGTCACTATACTGACAGAATACACTGGGTTAATATCATACTGAGATGCAGACTGTTAATAGAATAAGCGGGGTTATTATTATACTGGGGTACAACAACTAGAACGTAGTGAATTATCATTGAACTGGGATATTTCATAATGTATAGGAGAAACTGGATTGTTACTATACTAAGGTATAATCTACGTATAGAACATGCTGAATATTTATTGTAATAGGATGCATGTGGATAGCAATAGAATATATTGGTTTACTATTATGTTGGGATAAATCACTATATTTATAGAATAAATCGATTTATTATATTACTGAATTACTACATACTAATAAAAACATACGGAATTGTTATTATTATTGCACTGGGATATGTCACTATAATGTTGACAAGGTATAGAACAGACCTTTTTAGACATGTGTTACATACCTGAGGGCAGGGATGGCTGGCTGGGCATCATAGGATAGGAGTCCCCGAAAGCTAAGGAGCCAAATGTTAGCAATAATGGCTTGGGATATTATCAGATTCTGCTAAGATTATTGTAATAGTAATCAGATTATAGACGTCCACTGTACATCATTATGCTGTATTCATGTCAGCCTATTCTAATCAAATATAATATAAATGTTTAAATATCTATAATTACATTAATATTGTGCAACAAAAGATTGTTTTACAAGAGACTGGATAGGATAGATAGATAGATAGATAGATAGATGGATAGATGGATAGACTATAAGCCCGTTTGAGCAGGGTCCTCTTCAACCTATCGTTCCTGTAAATTTTTCTTGTAATTGTCCTTTTTATAGTTACATTCCCCCTCTCATAATATTGTAAAGCGCTACGGAATCTGTTAGCGCTATATAAATGGCAATAATCATAAGAATAAGAATAGATAGATTTTATAAACATTTACAAGCACATTATATACTTATATCCATCATAAACATAAAATACTTTCTCGTTTTTTTAATTTATTTTTTAGCAAAGTGAAAGAGATATACATCTCCCTTTATTCAGTTCTCTTATACTTGTTTTCCTGCAGGCCCTAGTTAATACACATTGTATGGTCCCCAATAATAGCAGGAGAGAGGTCTGATATTTAATTTGGGATTTTCACGCTTTCTGACCAATCTAAATTGTAATGGGTTTCAATGATCGTAGAACTTCAAAAAAATGTAGTCTGATTTCTCAGCAACGAAGGAAGGAGGGTTTATTGGGAGATACATTTTGAATATATCTGTGATTTAAAGAATTTCTTTCACATTAAATGTGTAACTCGGTAATTGCAGTTTCTATTATTCACTATAGTGATAATTATTAAATACGTGTTTTTAACATTAAAGTGTACAATATTCTGAGTCAGTACACAAAGCACATCAAATATGTTTTTTTTTTTTTTTATACATCTACGAAATGTAACTGAAATATCACAATGAAAAAACAATTGGTTGTTTTCAATTTAAATGATATTTTAATTACAGATCAGCCTAATTTCCAGAAGTTGAAATTTCATACAAATAGAAATACATGGGGGTTTTTTATCACTTATTCCACACACAAAAATCAGATAATATCTATTTAATTTTAAATTCTGCAATGATTCTCCCCAAGCAAAGATTTCTAAAAAATTATTGTATTCTCACACCAATAGAATATATATATATATATCCCAAGTAGTTAGAAATACATGGGTTTTTTTTTTTTATCACTTATTCCACACACAAAAATCAGATAATATCTATTTAATTTTAAATTCTGCAATGATTCTCCCCAAGCAAAGATTTCTAAAAAAGTATTGTATTCTCACACCAATAGATATATATATATATCCCAAGTAGTTAGATATTTTAATTTCTTCCTAAATAATAATTATAATATCAGTCCAAAATACTTATTATTGCAGCAGGATAAGCAACACTTGTGCAAGGTGTAAAATCAGATCATATCAAAGAAAAGTCCTTAGTGATGATTTGGGGTAAAAAAAAAAAAAAAATGACTATAATTCTCTGCATTACAGTCCTGCCCCAATTATACCAATGCATCCACAGAATCAGGCCAAACATGTGTTTATCCCCTGTGTGCAGCATGAAAATGCTTGATGGAGCTCGGTTTAACGACTTAAGTAATAATTTGCTAATTCAGATTTATTGCATTTAAATATCAAGTTTCTATTAACAGGATCTAGTAATGGTATATTGTGCCAAGCTGATGAGGGAGAGCAGGTATTGCCTGCAGAGTGAGCTGTGTGTGAGGGAGAGATCTACCCTTTTTGATTTGGGTAAGAGTACCTGCATTATGAGATTAAATAGTTTATAGCTGAGTGAGGGGGCTCTCAGTGTACCTGGGTCACTTTTTGCCTGGCAACATTTGGGGAAGAACCTACAGCAATAATAGACCACATGGACCTTAGCAGAGAAAGAAAAGGCATAGGCCCAGTTCTGCAGGGGGTATATGGGCATCTGGACCAAGTGATTTGATATATACATATATTGCACTCTCCTGGGTGTTTGTACAGTGTGATTTTATTTATTTAATCCTATATATATATATATATATATATATATATATATATATATATATATATATATATTTTTTTTTTTTTTTACCAGGTAAATTAAATCTCTGGAAATAACATTTTTAAAAAAAGTAAAATAATCACAATAAAAAGTCATACAATCTTGTACAAGTTCAACAGTGCAGTGATTGCACCCATATTATACACTGCCAGTCTGCTAGCAAAGGGGCAAACAGAGGGGGGGGGAGGGGGGGGAGGAAAGCTGGGCACAAAGCTTAGTCATGTTTAGTTTTTCGTTATTTTGTTTCTGCAAATAGTTCGAACAGGTTTGATTAAAATAAATAATTAAAATAAGAGAAAACACACACACACACACACACACACACACACACATATATAGAATAAAATAACGTTATTTAAACATTACACTAACTAACCACTAAAAACACCAGGATCTTCGGTTAAAATGCAAAGTATTGTTTTCTCAAATACCTTAATCGCGAAATATTAACAAGTCGTTACAATTAATTTAATATTTGAAACTGTACTCGATTATGTATCAGGCTCCATTCATTGTTTGCCGGATCCATTAGCTACGCACAGTTATATTTCGGGGTACACTGCCAAAACAGGATTAGATTTGGGGGCTTATGGTTGCAATAAAAACATGACTTTTCTCAATATGTATTTGGAAACAGAAATAACTCGTCCAGGTTTTCATCTTACTTCGTTTTAATCGGGTGTCGAGGATAGATAGATAGATAGATAGATAGATAGATAGATAGATCATGCAGCATATTGCACAGCAGTTTCATTACTATATAAAATTTATAAACTGGGTTTAAAATAAATTAGCAGTTACTCAAAGTTTATCATTAAAAAATAAAATAAAAAATACATATAATAAAAATACAATTTTTTTTTTCCTTCATAATGGGACTGAATGTATGTTACCCCAGAGATAAAATGCTATATAATATATGTCTATGTATCTCATGCCTGTGATTAAGGACAGATCTGACCTCCTGTGAATGGGCTGATGTACCCCAAACCGTCTCCTCACCTGTTGCAGAAGCTGTGTCAGAAGGGAGCCAGGCAGTGCCCATGGGCTGTGTGATCCCAGACTGCTCCCAGACAGACAGGGCTAGAGTACTTACTCCAATTATTTAGCTTTCTCAGTGTCAGGCTGGGGGCTTGATGCTAATTAGCAACATACTGCTTCTTTTTGGAGCGTGATTTCCATGCTAGTCATCACACAGGACTGTGGGCCTCACATGTTCCCCTTTTATCCTAATGAGTAAGCTTTATAATAAGGATTTGCAGATTTGGCAAAGGGATAGCTGTTGGGCTAGAGAATGGGGAGCTCTGTGGCCAAACTCAGGCAGAAGCTAGGTGCCCAAGTGTTGCCAGTCTCAGCCTGTGGCCCTTGGAGGAGGCCCTGGCCCCTGCAGTTACATTGCTGTAGGGGGAGATGAGTAACACGACTCCGGGGGGTAATGGACATATTAAGGTTCATTCTGAGTCTCTCCCCCATGGTAAATCTCAGGGGTATTTTGGCTGGATTGATTACCCCCTTGTATGGCAGGGAGGGAGGAGTGTCAGCAGGAGGTGGGGCCACAGGGCAAGCTAAGCCCTCTGTGTGCAGAGCTCCCACCCACCCCAAAACAAAACTTTTATTCCTACTGCAGCCTGCCAGCTTTCATACTGACTGTCAGCGTGTGAGGGTCCTCTGTCAGGGGCTGCAGGGTGGCTGCTCGGGATAGGAGGCCTGCAGGCTGACTTCTGGTGTCAGAGGGCTAACAGGGTCTGATCTGGCTGTGAAGGTCAGACTGTTGACTCCTAGAGTGTGTAAATTGACAGGGTGCCAGTAACCAGGGGGTCTGGGTGCTGTCAGTTATTGAGGGTTCTAAGGCACTAGTGATTGGTTCTGGGGGTGAGGGTTCTAGGGCAGCAGTGTTTGGGTCCGGGGGCTGCCAGGGGGTGAGGGTTTTAGGGCAGTAGTGTTTGAGTCTGGGGGCTGCCAGGGGGTGAGGGTTTTAGGGCAGTAGTGTTTGGGTCTGGGGGCTGCCACTGGGTGAGGGTTTTAGGGCAGTAGTGTTTGGGTCTGGGGGCTGCCCGGGGGTGAGGGTTTTAGGGCAATAGTGTTTGGGTCTGGGGGCTGCCAGGGGGTGAGGGTTGTAGGTGCATAGTGTTTGGATCTGGGGCCCTGGATTTACCTGGACTCCGGAGCTGGGGCCCTTGTGGAGTTATTGTGTGAGCTGGTCTGGCCGGGCCATGTATTGGAAGAGCGAGCAGATGTTTTTGTGTAAACTAGAAGATAAGGATATCCCTGCAGTATCATCTGATAAGGTAAGGGCATGTAATAACTCACTCAATATATAATATATGTGATATAAGGGGGATCGCTCTGTTCGGAGAACACACGGGTTTTACGCAGATTCTCGAAGAATGGGTTAATTAGAAATGAAATAACCGCTGTGTAGATTGGTAGGTATTTTGGTCTCGCAGTGTAGTATATTGAATGTGTGTACTCTAGTAATATTCCATACATTGTAATACACACATGGTGAGTAGGATGTATTTCAGATTAGTGTTACTTTGTAATATATACTTTGTGTGTACACTATCCTTAATGCAGACTAATGCCACTTTGTTTTATTTATATATACACAAGGTGTGTACTGGGGTATTATTTAGTATCAATGATACAGTGTAATATAAACATGGTGTGTGCTGGGGTATTATTTAGGATTAGTGATACAGTGTAATATATACTCAGTGGGGTATTATTTACGACTAGTGATACATTGTAATAACCCAGTACACACCATGTATATATTACAATGTATCACTAATACTAATACCCCAGTACACACCATGTAAATATTACAATGTATCACTAATCCTAAATAATACCCCAGTACACACCATGTATATATTACAATGTATCACTAATCCTAAATAATACCCCAGTACACACCATGTATATATTACAATGTATCACTAATCCTAAATAATACCACAGTACACACTGTGTATATATTATTTAGGATTAGTGATACAGTGTAATATATACATAGTGTGTACTGGGGTATTATTTAGTATTATTGATGCATTGTAATATATACATAGTGTGTACTGGGGTATTATTTAGGATTAGTGATACGGTGTGTACTGAAGAATTATTTGGGATTAGTGATACAGTGTAATATATACACGGTGTGTACTCGGTTATAGGATCGGTGATACATTGTAATATATACACTGTGTATTGGGGTATTATTTAGTATTAGTGATGCAGTGTAATATATACACTGTGTATTGGGGTATTATTTAGTATTAGTGATGCAGTGTAATATATACACTGTGTACTGGGGTATTATTTAGGATTAGTGATGCAGTGTAATATATACACGGTGTGTACTGGGGTATTATTTAGTATTAGTGATGCAGTGTAATATATACACAGTGTGTACTGGGGTATTATTTAGGATTAGTGATGCAGTGTAATATATACACGTTGTGTACTGGGGTATTATTTAGTATTAGTGATGCAGTGTAATATATACACTGTGTGTACTGGGGTATTAGTGAAACATTGTAATATATACACTGTGTGTACTGGGGTATTATTTAGTATGTGATGCAGTGTAATATATACACTGTGTGTACTGGGGTATTAGTGAAACATTGTAATATATACACTGTGTGTACTGGGGTATTATTGATGATTAGTGATACAGTGCAATATATACACGGGGTGAACGCGGGTATAGGATTGGTGATACATTGTAATATATACATAGTGTGTACTGGGGTATTATTTAAGATAGTGATTCTGTGTGAAATATCTACACCTTCATAAATATTTTAAGGCAGCAAAATTTCTATGGGATATAATAACTGTATCCTATTAACACCTGTGAGGTGTGTACACAGTGATAATGTGCAAGTATATCTGCTGTATATTGCTCGAATATGATTATTTCCGTTCCTCTATCGGTATTTACTAATATTAACCTGGTTGTTCGAGGTGTCTGAAGGATTCCATCAGAGTTTACAAGTTATCTGTGCATGAATTATTGAAACCTTATTGTTGTTGCTAATGTATGTGTATTTGTGTAATAAACCATTTCGCTGTCCGGTTTTTTTCTTCTTCATATAATAAAATCTGGGGGGGAAGGGGGAGACACATGACTGGATTGAGGTGATATTGTGTGGGGGGGGAAGGGGGAGACACATGACTGGATTGAGGTGATATTGTGTGGGGGGGGAAGGGGGAGACACATGACTGGATTGAGGTAAGTGGAGGGGGTTACATGGTTGTTGTGCTATGGTGGATGTTGGGCTTCCCCAGAGGTTGGATTGAGGTGGTGTAGATATTTATGTGGTATGTGAGGAAGTCTTGGTGGCTGAATTGTAGTATTAGGGTAGATGTGTATGATGGGTGGTGGTTCCACGTGGCAGGGTGTTATTGGGTATTGGATGTGGTTTGTATATAAAAATGTTCTAGTGGGCAGTGACAGATGTGAGCACTGAGGGGGAATTGTATATGTGAGGCCTGGAAGCTGGGTGCTGCCTGTGAGAGTTATAATCTCAATCTATAGCTAGCTGGCAAAAGGTAGGCCAAAATAACTGATTTGGAACAATTCTTTAAAGGAACTCAAATCCCTAGAGCAGCTTGCCTTGCTTTAGTGTTTTGTGCAAAGAGTGTGTCCTCTTATCAATTTATAAATTGTGCTAATTTTAATAGAAATTGGACACTTTTTTATAAATTACCTTGTTTACACACTCTGGCTGTCAGACAGCCGGTCCTATTACTTCCTGGTTTGGTTAGCTCAGTGGAGCTAAACTCAAGAGTCAGCAATTTCCCAGAATACCTGCTTTGCAAAGGACCTCTCATTGAGCTACATTGGGAAGTCTGTGATTGGACAGCCTCAGAGAGCCTGGGCGGGGTTAGGAGGGGAGGGCTTGCAAAGGCAACAGCCAAGAGAACTGCAGGTTTTGCAAGCATTTTTAGTTATACCACAAAAAAAGGATACAATTAAAGGGACGCTCAGGTGCCAGAAAAACAAACCCGTTTTCCTGGCAATGCAGAATCCTTCAGTGCCCCCTCCCGCCCACCCCCCATCCCGTGTTGCTGAAGGGGTTAAAACCCTTTCAGTGACTTACCTGAATCCAGCGCTGATGTCCCTCGGTGCTTGGTCAGGCTCCACCCACGCTCTTCCCCCACCAACGTCAGCCAGCGGGGGAGACCTAATGCGTATGCTCTGCAATGGCCGCGCGCACTAGACCTCCACATAGGAAAGCATTATTAAGAACACGACAGCCACTAGAGGACTTAACCCTGCAAGGTAATAATTGCAGTTTATGAAACCTGCAATAATTACACTTGCAGGGTTAAGTGTGATGGGAGTTGGCACCCAGACCACTCCAATGGGCAGAAGTGGTCTGGGTGCCTGGAGTGTCACTTTAAATGCATGCTTTCATTTGGGATATATCTACTAAATATTTATTTCCATTTGCTACAATCTAAAGCTTGGTAAATAACCCTGTATGGATAGGGAGTGGAGTATTTGCCAGTAAACACAAGTCACTGAATTTCCTTTTTGTAATTATTCAGGGCAGCAGCAATGTTTCTAGCTCAGATTATTTTTTTTCTTTTACCTGGTCCACTAAATTAGCATTTGCCACAATTTCAAATTGAAGGCCAAAATGGTGGAACTGGAAGTATTGGAAGCATTGCTGACTTGAATTTTCCCATTGTGGCCTTGGATATGAAATTCACTTTGGAAAAAGTAAATATATATATTAGTTCATTCTACTTAAGTGTAAACCAGAAATGGCCAAGTGGTAGTCCCTCGACTTTTGGTAACTACATCTCTCATGATGCTTTGGCAGTTTACACAGTGAGTGAAAATTATCAGTGTTGCAATTAGCAAATTAGTACCATCACCATGGAAACCAGTTTAATTTGCAGGTGCATTCCTGTTACAATTCTGCAGAATGCATACTTTATCAAAGCATTTTCTGATCTAAGTGTAACCATGCAAATCATTGTTGCTTAGCAGAGAGAAATATTTATCATTTGTACTGAGAAGTTAGTGGCAGAAATCAAAACTAAAAAAAGTAACTGTACCGGTACTAAATATTGTGGTACCAATCATGTGAACAGTTTAGTGGGCTGAACAGACATTCAGTGGAAACTCCCACACAGTTCTTCCTTATTCTCATGCTGTTATGCTTTCCATTAGCTCCAAGGAAGTCCAGGAGCAGCTCTGGATGAAGATTCGTGTTCATCGTCCCCTCTGTCCCCTGTGTCATCGTCTTCACCTCGTTCCATGACATCAGCTGGTCTTACCCAGGGCAAGAGTATCTGCAGCAGCTGCGGCTTGGAGATAGTCGATAAATACTTGCTAAAGGTAAGATGCTTTTACCAGACCGGTTCTGGAGACTTATAGCTTTGAGGGGAGGAGGGTGTCAGATTTTTTTTTTTTTTCCACTGCTGATAATTCATTAGATTTAAAATAAATTTAGAATGTTAGCCAAATTTACTTGAAAAAAAATTGTTTGAGTATTTTGGCCTAAAACATGCTATTCTCTTATAATTTACTTTGTATCCCCAGCAACTCATACCATTCATAGATAATGTAGTTTGTATGAAGCGATATTATCAGTGTCGCTCACCCCAAACTTACCTTTCTTGTATTGTTTCCTCTACACTTCCTTTTTTAGAATCTGTTCTGCTTTTCTTCATAGTTGGTCATAGTTTCAAAGGAAAATCTAACTTATAGAAGCAAAGAGGAGCATACTCTGTATATAGAAAAAATACATAATACAAAGTAAAAAAAAAAAATTAAAAAAAATTCACACAAGATATTTATCAGAAGACGGTAAATCTAGCCATATGCCTAGTAAGCCTAATGTATCAAAAAAACATGAGAGAAAAAAGAAAATAAATTGCATACCAAAATGAACTGGGGAAAAAAAATATAAGACACACTAAAAAGTTTCCCTGGTCTTCGTAATTTAGTTTTTAGTGGGATGGTTTTAGGTATATTATGTCATGTGACTGACACATGCACACGATTCCACATTCAACATCAGATGTTCTTAAATAGTTTTCTATGATATATCATATTGCATGGATTCTTATTTTTGTTTTACTTGGATGCTATGTGTATTTGACTCTAACGAGTGTGTGTTATCATTGTCATTTGGAACGCATATGCGTTCCAAGCCTTTTCTTGGTGCCATTTGTAGGATGTCCTTCCATTGGAACGCAATTGCGTCCCACGCCTTGACTGGATTTCTTTCTTATTTTTTTTATTTTTACACTTTTTTGAGCATCTGGATCATATCATCACAGGTTTTCAACCCTTCCCTTGCATGTATTTTTGTTTTGATCACTTATTGATGCCACAATTTCTTGTCCCTTTTGTTCTAGGGAATGTGGGCTTTTTTTGTATCTTGTTGGAATACATGTGCATTCCAAATCTCGACTGAGTGCAGAATACTTGGCTTTATATTTGGATTCTTATATTGCAGATATCACATCCAAAGTTTATTCATTGCACATTCTTTCTGGTATTGATGATTTATTAATTTATTCTTCCTTTCCCCTCTTCTTTTCTTTTTTTTTTTTTCTTTCATTTATCTTTTATGCATGTTTGCAGTCATGTGACCATTGGTGAGCGCTTTTCTTGGTAATCACCAATAAGGTATAAAAGGGTTTGTGGTTCATATGTGTCTCCTTCCTTGAGAAAGGCTCAGAGAGATTTTTTTTTTTTTAAAAATGTTTTAATTTTTTTTTGGTGTCTGTCCCTTTTTTCTTTTATTCCCAGTTCATATTGCTATACAGCTTATTTTCCTTTCCTCTCATGCTTTTTGATATATTGGGGTGTGTAGGGTGTTATACTAGGAATCTCTTGTGTATGGCTGGATTTATTTATATTGCTGTTATATATATAATTTTCTCTCTCTCCTCTGTTTCTATTAAGAAAAATATATTAGTGAACGGAATTGTGATGAGGGAGCACCTTTCTCTGGTTTATGTCTTTATTATTTAAGTGTATTTGGATTTATGGTTAATGCACTGTGTACCCTTCATACTAATCATTCCTATCGAATCTTTGTATTTAAACATGTAGATGTCACTGTTGCATAAGGATTTTTTTTTTTTTTTTGCTAAACTGTTGATTTACAATCAAATCACAATTTTCTGGACCAAAATTGCAGAATTAGGTAAAAAGTTGAGAGAATTTTTCTTGCCATTCTTATTTTGTATTCATGGTGTTGTGCTGCCCTGTAGCTAGCCATGTGCTATTTTTTTTGTATTGGGTGTTCAGTTGGAGGAAGTATCTCAAATGATTGGCTTGTATCTACATGATGCTGGTTTTCTGATGTTCTACAGACTGTGGACCTGCTTTCTGTTGTACAGTTATTGGGATTCTAGATTGAGGTTAAAATGCAGACTGACAATCAGCGTGTCCAGCATTTGTCAGCTGATATAGACTGTACACTTGTGGACTGGGATCTCAAAATCAGTATCTTGTCTCAGTCTTCATTCTCTGTAATAATTGTTCAATTTATCCAGTGCTGACAATCTGTTATATATTTTAAAAAATATTACATTCTCTAAAATTTAGTTATGCACAAAAATATGAATTATCGGGAATTTAATTTTAGCCCCAAATAAACAAAATGAAATCCTAATATTTCAGATATTTTGCTTCAATATTGATATTCCAGCAATTCGCATATTACTGAATAAACTTGACATTAAACTGGGAATTTATTTTTAATTCCCTTTGCTTTTTGCTTTTAAATTACATTTTTGTCCTTGATAAAATGTATTTTCCATAAAACGTTCGATGATTGTATGTTGATTGTATGTTCTCGCTCTATAATTTAACCCCCTCATTACTTCTTGCTTTGGCAGAATTTTAAAGGTTTTTGGTATTGTTATGAAGGGGTTAACATAGCTTTTACCCTGAGATGGTGAGATCACAGAAGCCTGGTAGTGATTCTGATGATTCAGTGAAAGTCTGTTTTTGTTTTTTTGTGGGTTTTTTTTTTTTCTGGTGTTCGGATGCATGCACTAGTCTGTGTTAAATTAAACATCAGGTTCCATTCCGATAACATTTGTGATGAAGTGGGTTAAAAACCAATTTGCAGATGTCTGTTTTGGCAGAAAAAAAAAATTCTCCTTTTTTCCAATTCTGTGACTCTTGGCCTGCATTTTGTAATGCAGATTTATATTTTGTTTAATGTACCACATTACATTTTGCTCTGCTTCAAATTTTCGTTAGGTAATTTGCTTAATCAGACTTGGTACAGAATTGCTGACTTAATTTAGCCAGATTTACTGATAAACATATCCAGCTATCAAAAGAAAATCTTTTATGCAAATAACATTGAAATCAGAACAACAATTGATAAAAGCCTATCTTGAGAAGCATAAAGAAAGTCAAATTTGAATTCCATTTTCTTATATCCTTGTTTTGTTACTAGAGGTGAGGATTTATAGATTTGCATCTGCATAAAGAAATAGTCACTGCATATGTACAATTTTTAATTATATTTTTTTAACGCTTGTGTTGCTTTGTTAGTGATGGGACACCAGTTTATGCTTGTATCAAATTTTACCAAAGGTTTTTATGGTGTGATTTTATCTTTCTTCTTGGTTTTTATTTAAAAAAAACCAATATGGGTTTGAGTCGAGTTAGTGGTTTAGCGTTGATTTGCTACATTCTCGAATCTGTCCTCGTTATGCGAGCATACATGATATAAATCGCAACCATTTGTATTTCTATTATTAGTGTTTATTCCACCCCCACTGCACATCTGCCATTACGGCACGTGTTTGGTTAATTATCTGGTATTAGCACTTTGTGCTCCTTTTGAGAAAAAGTTCACAAATTCCAACACACACATAAACAAACATGCATTTTAGCTAGAGGCTAGTAACAGGGATGGAACTGACATTGTAGAATGTGTATTTTTTCCAATATTCCCATATAAAGGAAACTGAGCCTGGGATCTGGCAGTCGGTCGCACCAGTAATTTTTAGAGCATTTAAATGCCACGTGCAGCAAGATAACTGCAGTAACAGGATCTTTAATTGGGGAAAACAATTAAATGTTAATGCTAAATTAAGAGCATGCACTATTTCCAATGATTTTCACTTTCTGTTTTTCTTTGCTTTTAAAACGTATTCCACTCTTTACAAGATTTTTTTCCGGCAGTAATTGAAATCTGCACACAGTAATTGAAATTTGACAGGCCATTGGGGTAAATATATGGCTCCTGAAAAGGCTCTTTAAAAAAAAAAAAAAATGTGCGGCTTATGCAAAATATTCAATTTTTCTCCAACCCACGCACTTTTTAGGACCGGATATATTTTGTGTAGATACGGTGTTTGTGTCTGGGAAACTAATAAAAGATACGGTATGGATAGTTAAATGAGGGGGGGAAAGAAAACACAATTTGTACCTGTGTTGGAATCCAGATAAATCAGGAACAGTAAGGTAACTGAATTCAAGGAATTATTCACGAAACTGTGAATGAAAGCTGCATTTTAAAAACACTCTGCAGTAGACTTCAGAAAGTAGCGTAGCTTGAGCACTTTTTTTTTTTTTTTTCCTGCTATCCCCTGGTTTATTTTGCAAATCCTGTTCTCAATTTGCTCAGTGCAGATGGACTCAAACAATTCTCAAGCAGCCATAACTGGCCATGTTTTATTCTGTTTTAAAAGTACGTTTACCACCTACCTAATGTATCCACGTCAACGAATGTCGAAATTTTTTTTTAAATTTTTTTTTTATATTTACATGAGGGTTGATCAGAATTTCAGTTTATCAAGAATTTATATTGTCCATGACCCAAACAGGTTTTTTTTTTTTTTTGGTGGCGTATGTTAACCTTTCAGTAAGTAGCAACGTAGAGATACTGGTTTGTAGATGGAGGCCCAACATTTTTAGAGCTATTTTCAATACTAACCACAGGACTTGTGTTTACTACTGTATACATTCAAAGTTTATATTCCCATTTGTAGGATTTTGCATCTGAGAACATATTCAAAAACTGACCTCCAATAATTAGACAACTAGAAAGAATTTTTAGTTTTATCTATATTATCTCAAGAGAACGTTATTGTACCACGTGTTGGAAATTGTATTGACCATTTTTTTGCAAGTTCTGTTAATGGTTGAAATGTATGCTTTAGAATCAGTTACATGTAGTGGTAATTGTGTTTAAAATCTGTCCCTGACTGTAAAAACTGGGCCTATCATGAATTTTAGACTGGTTTATAGAAATGGGACAGATTTTAATAACACCGGTTACATTCAAAGATTTACAGGATTATTGTGACCACTAACCTGTCGAGAATCACTTACCCTAGTTGAATTTAAATCTCAGTTTCTCTTTATAGATTGTGTCTAACTTTCTCCCTATGTTTTTATGACTTTAAATAATTTTTGTGGATAGATGACTTTTTGTTGTTGGTATATGCAAGTATGTTGTGACGTTGAATCAGTTTTCCCACATCCCAATGACTTGGCTTTGCTATGTTAATCCTAATTAAACTCACTGAGTTTAGAATATGTGGCATTAGCTCGAAGAACATTAAGAAAATATTACTGTAAATATATTGAGTGCCCCTTCACATAGGATTTCTGTTATCCCTAATTTCAAATGTTTACGGGGAATGGTTTTTGAAAAATATAGAATCCAGGCCAGGTCATTGTCTGAAGCAGGAGCATGAAGGGCTAATGTGACAGTACAACATAGTATTTCTGGTTAAAGTGGGGAGACGTCTCCTCAATTGCCAATGTTAACCTTCTTTGATTCTCTATAAATGTGCAAATTGAAAAATATTAACCAAACTTTGTAAAGGACTTTGAGATGTGCATAAAAACGATATTAAAATAGAAAAATGGCAAAATAAAAATTACCCTAGAAATTTAATCATTTCTGTTTTTTACAAAATTTGTGGAGGGCGTTAAATATGCTGAACACTTCAATCAAATACTTACAAATTACTTACAATATTTTTTTTTTTGTGGTTTCAGACTACCATGCATGACCTATTTTAAAAGCAACAATGTACATCACTGGTTCCCAAGCCAGTCCTCATGGCCCACCAACAATCCTGGATTTATGTATTTTTTTATTTTTATTTTTTTATTATTTATTATTATTCCAATGGAGGTACTGACAAAATCTGGATTGTTGGTGGGTTGTGAGGACTGGTTTGGGAACCACTTCTGTTTATCCTTTTAAAAGGCCACTAAATCTCAATGAAGTGCTCTGGGTGCAGTGGTCCTGTCCTTTTTAACTTTAAAGGACCACTATAGTGCCAGGAAAACATACTTGTTTTCCTGGCACTATAGTGCCCTGAGGGTGCCCCCACCCTCAGGGCCCCCCTCCCGCCGGGCTCTCGGGGGACGAAGGGGTTAAACTTACCTCTTTCTCCAGCCCTGGCGGGGAGCTGTCGTCCTCCTCTTCGGCTGAATGCGCATGCGCGGCAGGAGCTGCCCGCGCATTCAGCCAGTCCATAGGAAAGCATTCACAATGCTTTCCTATGGACGCAGGCGTCTTCTCACTTCTCACAGTGAGAAGCGCGGAAGCCCTTTAGCGGCTGTCAATGAGACAGCCACTAGAGGCTGGATTAACCCATAGGTAAACATAGCAGTTTCTCTGAAACTGTTTATAGCAAAAAGGGTTAAACCTAGCTGGACCAGGCACCCAGACCACCTCATTAAGCTGAAGTGGTCTGGGTGCCTATAGTGGTCCTTTAACCCTGCATCATTAAAAATTGCTGTTCTGTTTTCTTAGAAACTTAAGTGTTTTACATTGCAGGGTTACATTCACCTAGTGGCTGCTCTCCTTATGGCCTCTAGAGGCGCTTCCGCTGCTCTCATGGAATAACTGTCACTTGACATGGAAGGTCATAGGATAGTATTGAACACAATATTTTCCTATGTGGATGGGGGGGGGGAGGCAGAGTTGCAATGTATTGTATACAATTGAACCAAATCATATCACCCAAAATCTTAACTGTGTACATGAAATATTGGTCAGAAACATTAAATGACGATGATAAAAACTGCATGCACAGAAAATTACCGGGGCAAACTACAGGTATAATTGGAAACAATTCAATAGTAACACATGATAATATAGTAGCAATGTAAGAATACATTAGGTGAAGTATCTTCCAAGATTCAGTCAGTACCTGGGAGTTTTTTGGAGTTACTGCAGGATGTTAAATGTAGAGCATCACAATCACTGTTCCTATAAGGGAGTGTGAGATGAGGCTTTGGAGTTAAAAGTATTACTTTTATTGGTCTTGTCTTTCGCAGGTGAATGACCTCTGTTGGCACGTCCGTTGTCTGTCCTGTAGTGTGTGCAGAACCTCCCTGGGAAGACATACCAGCTGTTACATCAAAGATAAAGACATATTCTGCAAACTTGATTATTTTAGGTACTATACATGTATGTATTCATCATAGCTGTGTGTTTGCCTGTTTCCACATGGTATTCTGTCTGCAGATTGTGACTGTGGAAAGCGTAACGTCTTTGCTGTGCTTTGTGCCACTAGACGATATGGAACGCGCTGTTCCCGATGTGGACGGCACATCCATTCCACTGACTGGGTTCGGCGAGCTAAGGGGAATGTCTATCACTTGGCGTGTTTTGCCTGTTATTCTTGCAAGAGGCAGCTGTCCACGGGAGAAGAGTTTGCTTTGGTAGAAGAAAAAGTGGTTTGCCGAGTGCATTACGACTGCATGTTGGACAACTTAAAAAGAGCCGTGGAAAATGGTATGTTCTCGTAACAGCTCAGCCAAGATAAACATCGGTGCCTAATTATTCAAAGCTGAACGATATAGAGAAAAATAACGGAATCTTATTTTCTTCTCATCTCAGGGAATCGAGTTAGTGTAGAAGGAGCCTTGTTAACCGAACAAGACATTAATCAGCCTAAGCCTGCAAAGCGAGCAAGGACCAGCTTCACGGCAGACCAGCTCCAAGTACGTTTTTCTTTAGGTCTTCATGCAGAGTTCAAATGTTCCTTGGTTTGTGTTCATGAGTTGGAGAGAGATTACAATCTTGTAATTGTCTGAATATCCAGATTATTTTGTTTGCCATGCCATTTAAGAGTTATTTTTTGTTTTATTCTACACATACACACAACTGCAGATTGTAACAGACATTGAATACTGTTCATAAATACTATATTTTATTTCTCAAAATTGTATTTGGTGTCTTAAATGTATTATACAGATTTTGTGGGACAGGTGCAAAATAGCAATAACTTGGAAAGAAACCATATCATTTTTTTCCTTTAGCTATTTCTGACCAATGCATTTAGGATGATGAGTTGTGGAAGGCAATTTTTCATGAAAGAATAAACAGGAGTGGATTTGGATTTTTATTTATTTTTAACCTGGCACCTTCATGTGCAAATATGCTACACCGAATCAGACATCTGGTTTTACTGTGATTATTGCCATTACAGGTCATGCAAGCACAATTTGCCCAAGACAACAACCCAGATGCACAGACCCTACAGAAATTGTCTGAAAGGACAGGCCTAAGCAGGCGTGTAATACAGGTAAATGATTGATGTGAAAGTCTATGTATAAAGACTTTCTGATGTCCAAAGAGTAACCGTATTTAGTGCATTTGACAGGTCAAGATCTTTGATATAGATTTCATATACCGCGCTACGGAATATGGCACTAAATAAATAATAAAATAATAATTTGCCTAATTCTTGTGCATCCACATGGAACATTTTAGCATCTGAGAAATAGTCCATAAGGCAGTTATGCAGTGATCTGGGTGTCCAGCAAATGTAGCTGGCACAGCTTTTGTTTGAGCCTAGCAAGCCATTTGAATGGTCCTGCTCTAAATGGCATCAGTATTTGAAATTTATGTATGATGCTGTGGAAACCGTGTATTAAAGGTTTTTTCACAGTAATAGCAGCTGCTATAATGTTGCCTCACTGTTTAGGACACAGTCTTGGTTTTGGGACGGTGGCTTCTCCGAGCTATAAACCCATTTTTTTAAGAGCATTTTGGTTGAAGGAGACTTATCCCTTACTGTGAACACTGGAGATACTATGGACTACTGTCCATTTTAAGTCATTTTTACTTGGCTAAAAGTTATTTTGGTTACAGTCCACAGAATCCTGAGTGCAGGTACTTCCTAAATACAACATCTACTTTGAATGGTGCCGTCATGGTGAAACATTTTACCAAGACTTTAATAAACAACTTATTTTCATTTTGTAATTTTAATTTTCTTTTATCTTTAGTTTGTAGATGGTTACTAGATATTTGCAAGAGATCTAATAGTGGTTATGGTAACACTTACTGTGCTGTATCGTGGCTGTGAGCGGTTATTGTTTGACATGGCATTTTTCCATTTTCAGGTTTGGTTTCAGAATTGTCGGGCACGCCACAAGAAACACGTCAGTCCTAATCATTCATCTACTGCACCAGTGACAGCCGTACAGTCCTCAAGGCTTTCACCACCGATGTTGGATGAAATGACCTATTCTGCATATGTACCTCAAGATGGACCGATGCTAACTGCTTTGCATAGTTACATGGATGGTATGTACTTTTTAATGCAAAATCAATCCGTTAATAAATTCACCCCATTCCACTCTGTCCGCAAAGTGTTTAATATTCAACGTGTGTAAAATAACATCCCAAAGAGCTAAATCTGGCATGTGATACATTCCTAACCTCAATCCACTAAATATATTATGGAAATTGAATTTCTAGGATAGGAATTGTATAATGGCCTGAGAGATTTACATTCCAATGCATGTTTCTTGCAGATTAATAGTCTAAAGTGGTATTAATTTTCCATATTCTCATCTAATTGTTTCAACCTGTTTTTGGCCCTGATAAACTGTCCAGCCAGGGAACACTTGAAAAAATAGCATACATTTTTAATATATGAATCCCATTTCTGTTAACAAAAAATAATTTGAATGTTATGGGCAAACGGCAGAATACACAGATTTGTGCATCAACTGACTGTCCCAGACCTCAGTGTTCTTTATTTCCCCACACATTTGTGTAATCTATATACATTTTGAATCCATTGTCAAGGCATATACTGGAAAATGGTTAAGAGGAAACCATCTTATGTGTGTTGATTGAGAGAATGCTTTGTAATGTTGTATAGAAGAGTAATCTACAGGTATGTGTGTATTTTATGGTTTTAATCTACTAGTCCAAGGTACTAAAGTGGTAGCCCAATCTACTTGCATTACATGGTGTGTCCTGGCATTATGTGATGTATGTGTGGCGTGCCGTGTGCTCCAACTGTATGTGGTTGTGATACGCTGACCCATAAACACACAAACTACACATTCTAACATGTATCATATTGATTTAGGGCTCCATATTACATAGGCTGTACGTATAAAAGTAGGGATTAAAGGGACAATACAGTGTTAAGAATGCAAATCTGTTTATCTAGCGCTCTAGTGCTACTGTCCCTTGTTAAATACAGGAGTCCCCCCAAGTTTCCAAAAAATGAAAAAAATAATTTACTTATTTTTTAAATTAAGGATTGCAAAGTGCTTTATTTTTTTTATTTTTTTTATTTTTTTTTGTTAATGTAATTTGCTCATTTGAGATATTAGAGTCAAATCACTCGAGCAAGTAAACGGTTTAGATAACCAATAATGAGTGGATAAAACAGGCGCTCACAAATATTTAACAATCTAAAAAAGCAGCGGAATAAAAATTAGGTATATATCCCTTTAACCCCTTAAGGACCAAACTTCTGGAATAAAAGGGAATCATGACATGTCACACATGTCGTGTCCTTAAGGGGTTAAAGTGCAAAATATTTTGTGCAAAGCAGAACACTTTCTTGCAAGAATAACAGTGTAACTAGTCTATCAATAGTAAATAGCAATCAGTGTGTGCTTATTGTGACAAAATTGCAGCAGCCAACAATGAATATAAGCAAATATCCCCCATACATAAAACAATCCAAAATGTGGGTGCTCAAAACAAACATATACAAACTTGATGATACTTAAATAAAACGTTCTTTAATACAAATATAAGAACATATAGTGCAGAGCGTCGACATTCACAGATAAAACTTATGGTATCAAACTCACTGCATTTGAGTGGATTGTGTGCCACTCTCGCTTTAAAAGCCCTGGAGAATTCAAGCTCCTTGAGTTCGGCGGATACACCCGGCATAGATCGGACCAAAGAGAGAGACTGTTATTTCTCAAGTAGAATTAAAAACACTTAAAACAAATCAAATCTTAAAATCCTTGGAAGGCTTTTTGTAACTTTTAGTCGCTTAGCATTTCTTTCCCCCTCTGTCTTGCCTCACCTTACACGCATAATGTGCATCTCTCTGCCCCCAGAGCTTTGTCAAATGTCAGATGCCCTATTAACATCTGCTTCACTTGTTAATGAAACCTGAACAGGTACACTGTAACCTACAGCTTGAATTATGACTGCTGAACTATTTTCAAAACCCCCGATTAACCTAGGATAGTTTCCAGTGAAAACCATGGAAGGACAGGAATTGGCAAATGGATCTTTTAACAACTCCAGATTAAACAGTTTGCTAACACTGTTGTAGTAGGTTTAGCACATGATGTATTTAAACAATGGCCTTGTGCCTAGAATGTGCAGCCTTGAAGTCGATGTATATGCGCATGTTGCATGCTCAGGTGACATTCATTTCTACAGGGTAGAGCTGTCAGACCTGCACACCCCAGATGTTGCTGAACTATAACTCCCATGATTCACTTGCTATCTGTTTCATTGAAAGAATCATGGGAGTTGTAGTTCAGCAATATTTGAGTGGCTGCAGACTGATCTGTAAGACTCTTTGTAGCTTAGGATCTGTTTTTGTATTCTTGTATATACTTTTTTGTGACTGAAAGTCTTCAAGAGGCTCTGCTCCTTGCAGGCCATGCTCTGGCATGGGATGTTGATGGATTTTAGACCATGCTCTGGCATGGGATGCTGCTGGGTTTTGCACCATGCTCTGGCATGGGATGCTGCTGGATTTTAGACCATGCTCTGGCATGGGATGCTGCTTGATTTTTAGACCATGCTCTGGCTTGGGATGTTGATGGATTTTAGACCATGCTCTGGCATGGGATGTTGATGGATTTTAGACCATGCTCTGGCATGGGATGTTGATGGATTTTAGACCATGCTCTGGCATGGGATGTTGATGGATTTTAGACCATGCTCTGGCATGGGATGTTGATGGATTTTAGACCATGCTCTGGCATGGGATGTTGATGGATTTTAGACCATGCTCTGGCATGGGATGCTGCTGGGTTTTGCACCATGCTCTGGCATGGGATGCTGCTGGGTTTTGCACCATGCTCTGGCATGGAATGTTGATGGTCATTGTTCTACTTGGCTTTAGCAGGACTCTAATATAAACAAAGGGCACATTTTAAGCTGACATAGGATTTTAATGGATCCGATCTTTACTGCCAGTGGATTATAAATGGCTCTTAATGTGAGGAGGATAAATTTGGGACTCTAGTTTAAGCAATATAAAAAAAAATAACTTAAAAACCGTAATAGTCCTAGAAGCTGCCAGATGCAGAGGTTCCTCCCAGCCTCTTGCCTTTCAGTAAGGACTGATCAGGTCTTGAATGTATTAGGCTTTTTTGTTCCTGCCTACCATATTTATTTGTTAATCTGGTTATGCCGGAGGAAATAAAGATAGCTGACAACATCTGCATTGAGCACTTTCTCATGGCTTCCCCTATGGCTCTCCACTTGCTATTGTTTTAAAGCTAGAATGTAAATAGTTCATGGAAGGGTTGTAGTTACATGTGAATATAGAATGGACTCCATCATTGGTGAGACATGGGACTATTGTGAGTAGGGTTAGACTGATCCACCTGCTCCTTCATAAGTTTGTTTTGACTTGCAGCTAAGTAGAATTTTGCTTACACTAATCCTGCTTTCTCTTTCAGCTCATTCTCCATCTGCGCTTGGTCTCCAGTCTCTCCTGCCTCACTCCATGACACAGCTACCGATCAGTCACGCGTAGACCTTTTTCTAGGATCCCCACATTTCTCCCCCCCAACAAGAATGTAAATGTTTGGGTATAACATTGAAACATTTATTGTGTATACAATCTGAATAAGAGCACAAGTTATTTTGTATGGCTCCACTTGGTGCTGAAAGACCCAAAGTTCCGCTAGCCGTCTGCAGTGAAGGAATTTCAATGCACAGTCGAATTCCATGTTTTTTAGGGTGTGTAAGTATTAAAGGGTTGTTCGTCAAGTACCACTAAATTCTTCCACTTCTGCATCCTTTAATTTTTTTTATTTTTTTTTGTACTGTCTGGAAATAGTCCAAATTAGTTGTTTGTTTTAATTTATTTGTCATCATAAGAGCACTTAGCCAAAAAAAGGACTGACAGGTGTGCAACAAATGTTTACAATTTTTTTGTGAAATTGTAGTTTTTGTCATTTAGTTTGTATCTGTAAATTATTACAAAAGTGCATATGTATGCGTTACTTTAAACTTCTCAATTTGCATCTGTGAACTGGCAAATTCAGTTTATTTTTTTTTGTCTCCTTGAAATAAACAGAATAAAAGCTTGGAGTACATATTGCTAAAGGTCATTATTTTCCTACTTTTCAAATCAAAAGAAAGCTTAATTTTTTATTCTGCAGCTTGGATTTATCTCCATTTCATGAACTTCATAATACTTGTCTAGTGATGGCTAACATTGGAACTGTCTGAGATTTGTAGACTCTTTCTTAAATATCTGACTTGATCAGTTCCTGGAGAATGCGGTTACCAATAGAAAAGGTTCAATGTCTTAAATGATCCTGTCACTTTCCTCCCTCTGTTTGGCTTTATATGGTCACTCAAAACATTGTGCTGCTGAGACAAATGATAACTTTGTTAAGGATGGTTCTATGTGCACTAAGAAATTTTTATAAAAAAAATTAATTAAAATTGCGTATCTTTTTCCTGCGCTGCTACACACTTAGTGCTGCTCACCTCTACGTGTCCTGCAATGGTGAAATCCAATGTTCCTCATAGAGGAGGATTGGGTACCTAATGTGCATGTGCATGTGCAGTGAGTGCCACACGTGCATTCAAACTTCCCTATAGGAAAGAACTGCAGTCAATGCTTTACTATTGTACTATTGGTTTCACATCACATGAGCTTCACTCTGGGAGTGCAGCAGAATCACCTCTAGTGGCATTTAGTATGACAGCCACTAGATGTGGGCGTAACCTGCAATGCAAACATTGCAGTTTCTAATAAAAAACAATTTAAAAACTGCATTATTTTACATTGCAGCGTTAAAAGGATGTGACCACTGCATTCAGTCCAATTCTTTAAAATGAAGTGGTTTGTGACTACAGGTGTCCCTTTAATGCTTGCCAAGAAACTAATCTGGGTTTAATTCTGCTTAACTGGTACTTGATGCCGTAAGAGCCTGGATTGAGCCTGGTAGGTCCTTGATCCTCTGAAAGAAATGTGTCTTGCTACATTTGTTGGTCCTTAAGCAAAACTATTGGGTGCAAAATGGATCTTTAATTCAACAAAAGTGGACAGTTTATCAAGACGAAACTATCTAGTTGGTTTCAGAAAAGGGTACCAGCACTAAGCTTGACATGTTTTTCAGGAAGTGTGATACTCAGACGCTGCAGGAAACTTTTATTTAAAAAAATATAACCACGTTTTATGAATAATTGTTCCATCAGTTTTTGTGTTTTTCCAAGCAAAATATCACCGCTTTACAGAATCCAGGTTCAAAATCATCAAACATTTTAAAATCAGGAAAAAAAATATTTTGCACAGCAGAAGCACACCATAATGGACAATGGAGCTTTACCTGGTCACATCTAAAACATGTTAAATAGCTATTAAAAAATAAATAATAAAAATTGAAGGTAGGCTCCATGTATATTAATTTGCATTGCCTTACTTGTTAATTGCAGAGGATGAAATCCTTGCTACATAGCAAAAAATGTATTTATGAAAACTGTTCCGCAACACTCTTCAGTGCACTTGTTGTATATACGCTTTTCTGGTATCTGAACTGAATACACCACTGATGGTTAACTTTTTGTCCCTTCTTACCTCTGTCATAATGCTTGGATGAGGTATCACTTCTATGATGGAGTTATTGCATTGTCCTAACTAGATCTCAATGAAGTGACCAGTGTGCCATGTGCTTCTTGTTTTAACCCTGCAAGTGAAACATTGCTGTTCTACAGGAACGAATAACAAAAGGATGCACTCCAACTAATCTTCATATACAAAATAATCTTTATTACACACAGAATCAGGGCATGTACAAGAATCACACAATGTGAGTTACTAAAATGTGACACAAGGGCCAGTTGTATACCAGTCTTATTTCACTTTTTAGTGAATATATTTTGTGTGATTGTTGTACATTGTGCATTCATTCTGTAAGCAATGGAGTTTGTATATGAAATTAAATTAGCTGGAGTGCATCTGTTCATAGAAACTTGTGATTTTTGACATTTTGGAGAGTCTCTCTTTAGGGTAGCACCTAATTTTCCCACTCCTATTCCGTTTGGTTATTGCATAATACTCTACCCAGGAAAAACAATGTTTACTTTGCAGGATTTAAATTCCTCTGTGGCTGTTATACTAACAGCCACTAGAGGTGCTTCTGTAAAAATAGTTGTGAAATGCTATTTCAATCAGATGGTCTTAAAGGGACCCTTTAATTGGCGCAGCACGGAGTGGTTTGTTGGGTCACTAATGACCCAAGAAAGGAATAAAATGTATAGTTTAAAACATTGTCATATTATTGTTTTGAGGTGATGCTGGTTTTGGCAATACATCTAGGTTAGATACAGTTTAGTACAGTCTCTAAGACAGAGGCTTGTACAAATAGTGTGTTCTCACAACCTCTCCATGCTCCCATATACACTTCTGCGTCAATATTTGGTTATATTGCTCACCATACAAAGATAAGTATGGAAATGTATCAACTTTATACATTTAAGCTTTGTATATTCTCAAGGCAGATCTACAATTTTAATTGTTTTGGTTTTTAAATAAAAAAAAAATAAAAAAATAAATCTCTATCTTCCTGCACACCTTTAGGACCAGAGAACACACCACTGTCCTGTATGTGTCTTAGAGTTTAATTTGTTTAAGTTAAAATCTGCCGTCCTGCGACAAGTTTACTTTATGGAGCATACCATTCATAAACATTGATGCATTGCAAGGTAGTTTAAAAATGACTTGCATGCTGGGGTATATTGTGTGCAAGGCTTCAGCATGATATGAGCACAAATCTTAGGTAAAGAGGGAGAACTGGTTAACACCGAACTATTTTTGGCATGGGAGACTTTTTTTTTTTGATTAACATGTAAGATCTTATTGTACTGAATTTTCTGTTATGAATGCAATCTTCTAGCTCACATTTCCTACAGGTGGATTGGCTTTCCATAAACAGAAACCTCACTTATCCACTGCATCATTGGAAACTTTTTTTTGGAGATGCTTAGCTCTTGTGCATAATATGTCTATTTGTGAAAACATTCTAGCTATTTGAGACATTTTCTTTTTTTTTTCGGGTCAGATAAGTGGGGATCTTAAATACGACTTCCCCCATATAGTAAGACAAGAGACGCTATGGAAAAATGTTTTTTTAATTGTACGTATAAATTACAAAATAATATGCAAAGGATATTGTTCAAGTTTGTATATTCGATAATCACAAAATAGTTGTCCTTTTAAAGAACCACTAGAACTGAGCAGTTTATTTTTATCACTTTTTTTAAGTATATATTCTAGATTCCTGGTGTGAGGCTGTAACCCTCTATGTTTAACCTCAACTCCCATGTATTTTGGTTTAGGACTGGCCATTTTGGGAGTTGGAGTTAAAGAGCAAGAGTTCGATGAACTCCTTGACCTATTTATTGGTAACAGGTTTTTCAATGGATAAAGGCAAAGACCTACCATTGCTTTCTTCTCCTGGATGTGCTTTTTCCAAATTTTTATTTTCTGGGCCAAGATTACTCACACTGCTAATAACCTTCCCTTTCTGTTAAGGCACTTAATGATGGAGTAACAAGGTTATCCACTAAAGTATGAAATGTTAGGGAACTGAACTTATGAGATCTGAAAACATAGGGGACTTATTTTTTTTTTTTTTTTGCCCCATCCTCTTCAAATTCAGCAATTTTTTCCCCCCTAACTTTTGAAATACACACTTTAACCTCTTAAGTACTCTTGACATGTTACATGTCATTCCATTTTATTCCAGAAGTTTGGTCCTGAAGGGGTTAATGAATAACTGGTCCTCGTAAGATAAAAAAAAAAAAAAAATTCTCTGAACGAGTCACTTTTATTCTAGGCAATAAAAATGATTTACCATATTTTTGATATATTAAGATTTATACATCTATGCACAAACCTGAATGAGTCTGTATTAATATCTTGCTCCTGCAATAGTAAATGGGATATTTTACAAATCTATACACTACTTTCCGCCTGTAGTTGGCCTACAAGCATTTGGTATAAGATATACACATATAATACATGTTAACTTGAAAACGAAGACCATCATAAAACAAATGTTCCACCTGTATTCATGTCACACCAGCCTGGAAATAAGGGTCCCTCTGTTTTTGTTTTTGGTTTTTTTGTATTACTGTGCTGGTACTGGTGTGTTGTGTTTGTTCAGGATCTTCATGAGTGATTTGTTCATGTAAAAAGGTTTCTCTGCAGACCCGTCATGTCTCTCTAAATCTTCCACTAGGAGCAGAAATAGTACAAGGTTCAGTAACTCTGCATTCCTTGGGATATGACGTGCAAATTTACATGTTTTTATAACGCATAAACCCCCCACATTTCTACCCTCGTATTATCCACTAAAGCATTATGAAATACAATTATGCAATCCTTTTTATTAACTTGCAGTTTTATATCTTTTATTGTGGATGTTTTTCAGTAGAGAGGCTAATGAAACTTGTTAAAATTGGGAGTAAAAAGCCCTTGGTAATGTTACTCAAAGTGTAACAGGACAGATACAAACTGTGTGGAATGTAATAAGTACATTACTAAGACACTACTAAGAATTAACTTCTTTCTGAACAACACGATATTCAAATAATATGGCCCAGTCCAACAGAACTGCATGCATTGACGTGTATAAATAAAATAAACCCAATGCTTGTTTTTGTATCAGTCTATTTTATTAATTATCAACGCTACTTTGTTCCTAAAGCACTTCCTACATTTCCTTTACACTAGAAAAAAAAAGCATTCACTAAATGTGTTTTCCCAAATTGGCCTTAATTTTATCCTTAAGTTTGAAATTTACTTTGAATTCACACCTTAGTTAATTACCCTGTCAGTGTTATTTTTTATTTTTTTTAAATTGATTACACCAAGTAAGACTTTCTAATATGATGCCCTTATTTGATAATCTTCATTTGCACTCAGTGCAATCACACTATTTGAAAAGCAGCCCTATATGTTGCCATCAGGGCCGGCCTTAGGCAATTAGGCGCCCTGTGCAAAAAGTCTTCACGGCGCCCCCCCCACCTCCCACCAAGTTGCCTGAAT